AAATAAAAACGTTTCACTTTCAAAGCGCCACGATTTAGTACAGATTACCTTTCCTGATGGTTCTCATGGCCAGACTAGCAACACTATTTTTAATTGTACCGCTAAATATCCAGTCAATTTTTTGTCGACTTTCTGAAAATTTCAGCTCTCCACATATGGTCAGTTGCAATATGTACAGCTTTTTCATTTTGCCCCTCACTTCTTTTATGAAAAATGGAAGAACAAGGAAATTTTTATGGAAGGAGGTATTTTATTTCGCTCATTTGGCCTTTTGCTTTATATAAAATTGTCATGCTTCACAGATGACTCAAGCTGTAGAATGGTGATCTTAAAGATCGCTAATGCTGTGAAAAAATATTAAGGAGATGGATCCATTAACTGGGAGTCAAACTTGTTTGTGCTGAAAAGGAACCAGAAGTTCAGTCTGACAATGGATTATAAATGGTAAACAGCAACACCAAAAGTTAAATGCTTTCTAAATAGCTTGAATTATTGAAATTTATGGTTTGATTAAATATTGATTAAAACCTGAAATAAATTAACTATAAATTATTAACTTTTTGATTAATTAATTAATTAACCAATCAAGAAATTAATTCATTTTTGGGTGACCAACTTGGAGGGCTGGGCACCCTAGCTGGAATGGTTGGGAGCCCAAAGGGCTCCCTAAAAATTTTCTTAGAGCACAGCCTTGAATATATTATGCAGCATCACTCAAAATTTATATCAAAACAGGGACACAATGAAACTTTAAACAAGTTTCTGTTTTACAGTGTAACATATGTAAATTTTTTAATACAGTTGTTGTCAGTAATTATTTAAGAGTGGGATTTGAAAGAAATGCCACTCTCACATAAATCCTGTCTCAAATAAATGCTACCCTTGAATAAATGCAGCATTTAAAACATTGAGAAAAAATAATCAAACACTGCAGCATTTACTTATCATTAGGGTATCTAAAGATAGTAGTACTGTGGCACAATCTGATGATAGTGACAGTTAATGCAGTGATTCATCTAACACATGTTGTGAGACTTACATTAACCTTTATTTCTTAAAGTAGAGTCAAATCGTGGAATGTTTCCAAAACTAAAATTTAAGAGCACCCTTCAGCTTCACACAAATGATGTTTTGTCCAAGAACTGGATTGTGGGTTTATTTAGTTCACTGACTATGTCAATCAAAGTGTGCAGACCACCTGTGCCTGCTCTAAGCAAAGTAATGTTGTACAAACAGACTCGAAAGGCACTCTAGTATAAAGTGGCGCAGTGCACTCTGGTTGGTTTAAGGTCAATTCGCCTCCACAACAAACTTGCCACCACAAAAGTCACCACCACTCAGGGTGAAGTCACCACCAGTGGCAATTTGACTTAAACATTATCTGTGGCCTCTGATTAAGTACAATGCATTCTGGTGATGAATTAGAGAATTCAAATCCCCTCCATATATTCTTCTTAAATCCTGATTATGTTGCTGCGCTCTCACTACGCTTGCTGCATAGCAATAAGTATGGTAATTAGTACTAGTTCGTTCAGATGATAGTTCTTCAAGGTTTACACTTGTTAAAATGTCGAAATTCAAAGTGATGCTACAAGATTTGTGTGTAATAACCATGATAATAATAATAAACTGAAAGCAAGGCTGTGCTCTAAGTAAAATTGAAGGGAGCCCAGTGCTCTGAAACCATGAAATCCAGGGTGCCCAGTATAAGCTTTTTATGAAAAAACTAAGATTCGTGAGTTGCCCAAGAGCAAAAGTAAGGCACCAAGGGCCTCCAGGTGCTGCTAGACCACAGCCTTGGAAAGCCTTAAAAAACCCACTAACTTTTTCAAAATAAAATTGTCTCGAGACAGCAGGCTGAGATGATGGTTACTCACTAAAAATAATCTAGCAATCACAGTCAAAGATGACACCCCCCTGAAATTTTTTTTAAGGCCCATTTCCAACCTTGATATAATGCAGTCATTCGTTTTTGTTGAAATAAGGCTTCTGATTGGTCAGTTATTTTTACCTTGTCACATTGTGAATAAAGGTAAAGAAAGACTGGCATGGATTCCGTATGTGGCTTTCGTGGTAGTGTCGCATTATCGCCTTTTAATTGTATTTGTGCTCTCTCAAGTGTGTCGTAGGGATTTTTCTCTTTTCTTGCAAGAGATGATCAGATGCTATATAAAAGCTATGTTATTTTTAAAGCTGCACGATTGTGCATTTAGGGAAATCGGAATTTGTGAAAGCCTCTTCTTAGTCATGTCATCCATGTGTTTTCAACAAATTAATGATCTCATTAAACCTTTCCTGCCAGTTTTTTACTATCGATGCTTTGAGGGGTTTATCGTGAACTCTGGTGTTAAGTTAAACCTTAGCTTCTTCTGTTTTGGGTCTAATTCATGATGACTGTTGTTGTGTTGCTTTTTGGAGGTTAAAGCAGAGTTGCTTTTCAACCCTTTTAGAGCCATGACCTCCACTGCATTACACATTATTTTTTGGCCTGGATACAATAATCTCTCTAAGTAGCTCTCGGGGGCAGTAGAAGGCTGAACCTGTGTATCAGGTGCCATATAGCACAATATTGTGTGCCCCAAAAATACAATGCAAAAGTTACGTATATATGGCATGGATCAATTAAATAAATGAATAGAATATAATTGTGCAACATATATATGGCATGGACAAAGTCAATATATGGTACTGAATAAATAAATATATGACATAAGACAAAAGTAAGAAAAATATATACGGCTATTGTGCCCGTTATCGCTTTGGCCAGCGGCGTTATTTTTGAAAGCGGGAAAACTTAATTAGCATCTGATCGAGGAATTGAATAATTGTGGCGAACTCTACTCCCACTGTCGACTTGCTTGTTCAACAGATTATTGATCATCCTTAATTCAAAGAAGCCTTGCAAGCTAGGTCTTCCAATAGTTCAAGTCCAAACCCCGAAACTTCAACTCAAACAGCAGTTTCTGGAGAAGGAACTCAGGAAGTTAGCCGTTCTCAAAGTGGAGGAACCATTCAGACCATTAGTCTCGAAGCATGCAACAAAGATTTAGAAACTGACTTCTTAAGCCGATGATTTCTTCATACAAGAGACGAAGTAGCTCAAGTAAACTTTCGCCAGTGCTTTGCACTTCGCACTCAAATATGAAACACCTAACAACGTATGCATGATCACCTAATCGGCGTTCAAAATACTCCAAGACATTGATGTTTTCAGAGTGAAGATTTCTACGAGCTTGATGAAAAAGATGGAATAGAGCTCTCCAAAAATTGCTCTAAATCATCAATCCTGTCACGGGCCGCCATGTTATTTTTTTATCAATCTTCCACTGACCAAATTGACAATGGGCATAACCATATATATTTTTCACGCATTTGCCCCATATTTACATCATATTTGGTCCATGCTATATATTCCATTCATATCATATTTATTTGATCCATGACATAATATATTTAAATTTTGCACTTTATTTTTGCCCCAACAATATTGTCCCACACGGCACACCATACCTGTGGCATCCAGTTTGAAATGAGATGGATATGATTTTTTGTATTGTCCATGAAAGGTGTATTGGAGGCACTTTTATCTTGCAAAGGAGTTTCAGTAGAGCACTGCACTAGTATCGCAAAGGTCAGTGGTTTGAATCCCGTACGTGCCTGATTTTTTTCAGGTCTGATTTTCGCTAGTGCATAAATAGCGCTCTCTACTGCGAGGATCGTGCATCATACGTAAAGGAGTTTCAAGTTACAGGAAATAGGTTGCAGCATGCATTGCTTCAGGGTTGGAAATGGGCCTTTAATGAGTGGATTCTCTATTTCAGTTTAAATAATAAAGGCAAATATTTTACAAAAGCTGCTCATTACAAATACATTTAAACTTGTACTAACAAGGAAAACAAAAATGGGCAAGAACCATAATTATCAAGGCAAGCACTAAAGGCCCATAATATCTAGATTTAGCCAAACCTAAAAGCAGAGCTCCCAAGCTCGTAACATTAATAACAACAACAACAACAGCATTTATTTAAACACGATAAAAAATTCAGCAAAAGCTGACGTGGTCGTGTTCAAACAATAAAACTAAATTCCTAACTAAATGCAATAAAACTAAATTCCTAACTAATTATAAGAAGACTAATGTAAGAATTCTACATATTTACAACAATAAAAATTCTACATAGTACATCATTATAATATACGTGGCTTAAAAATACACTTGAGTGACTTTTTAAAAGTGTCAACATCTTGAATTGATCTCATTTGATTTTCCAGAGCGTTCCACCGAGTAATTGACTTATACGCATGAGTATGATTTCTTGACCATATCGGTCTTAGGTCTAGGTAACTAAAATGTCATTTTCCTCCTGAGGTGGTAACTACTTACATACTTTTCAAAGTGACGGTTCATAGGACATGGTAAAAGATGATAATAAGCCTGATGCACTAAGATTAGTAATTGTTTCTCATACATAATCTCTAAGGTATTCCATTTTAATGTGGCAAGAACCTCCTTGCTTGGAGTACACCAATCCAAGTTGAATATTATTTTTGCCGCTCTAACATGTATAGATTCTAAGGTTGAGAAAAACACTCGACCACAAGAGCCCCAAACTAACATACCATATGTCACAGACGGCAGAATAACCTTAAAATAGAAATCAGTTCTTGCCTGTTTAGGCAGGAAATACAAGGATTTAAGTAAATTCAACTTCTGCGTATATGACTTAGCTAATTCCGATACATGATGATCCCATTTAAGAGCATTATCTATCTGAACACCTAGGCATCTTGTAGAAACAACCTCCTCGATAACATAATCACCCATCTTAATAGCTTGTTTTGGCCCAGTAAATTTTCCGCGTCCACCAAGCAATATATATTCCCAGAA